CTCTCCTCACCCACTCAGCCCCTATCAAGCTGCCCTCTCGCTGTTTTGCCAGTTTCCACATAAACTAGGGATGATTCTGAGTGCTAGACATTTGTTTTCATGTAGTTGAAATTCCTCACTTCTGCACAATGAACACAGCGCACGAAGGAGCCGTGCTCCCGAGGCGCTCCATTTAGACGGCTTATTTCCTCACCTTAACTGGGGAGCGTGTCATCATCTCTCCCGAGCCTCGAGGGAAGATTCGCGCTTGGGCAATCATTTCCAATACACTAGTCTTTCCAGCACTTTGATCTCCAACCACAACCACCTACCACAAAGCAAATAACACTCACATTTTTCTGACACAAAAGTAAGACAGATATGGAATCAACATTTGGCATATCTAATTCTTTAAAAGAGCTAAAGCTAAATTATTTACAAAATATCCTCAATGAAAAAAATGACAGCAGATATGCAGACTGAGAATAAAAGCAACACAATTGGATTCATCATCTATGGCCAAATTAAATCTATGTTAGTTTAAATCACAAATTCTAAAATCAGATTACTACTTTTCCACAAATTCTTGCCAATAGCTAGTTTGTGCTACTAAACCACATTTCTATGAGGTTTATTTTCTTTCTTTTCATTATTACTTGGGATTTACTACATATATCATATCATTCCATATTTCAATCATATTAAGCAGAATTGTACAATTGCTACCACAATCAGCTTCCAAACATTCTTTTTCTACATGGACTCCTTGACATCGTCTCCCCTTTACCCCACCACCACCACTGTACTCCCCTCCAACCTAACCTCTTACTCTACTTGCTATCCCTATAGGTTCATCAATCTTGGGTCTAATATACCAAAAACCAGAAAAGCATATAACACAGCTTCAAGAAGGTGGCCTCCACTGATAAAACACCTCTGAGATACACTCTAATATGAACAAACAAAAACCAAACAACACAATACACACAAACAAATTACAGAACATTTTGCCAACCAGATCAGGTCTAGCCTACATCAGACGGGGGATCTACTGACAAAGTTTTAACTGTTCAAGTCAGATTTATGCCTTTGATCTTCTATACTTCTCTCTCCTAAGCACTTACCTCCCAATCCCCATTAGGTTAATTGTCATCATGCTTAATTGACTCTGCTGTTATTTTAGTATTACAAATATTATAAATACATAATGCCAAATATTTGATAACCTTCTTTCATAACAAATAAATTTAAGAAACCCATGGACCAAAATGAAGCACTATAGTTAAACAGGAAGTGTTCTAGGATATCAATCACCAGCACATGAATTAAATTATTTTGGTTATATATACATATATTTGCATTTTCCTTTGTAAACCTAATGTATGAGTTTTGCTACTTACTCGTGGCAGATGATCTTGTGTATTATAACTGGCATCATAATCAGACAGAACATCAAGAACTTCAGAATACATATCAATCAAAGATTTCTGTAAAATTAAAAAATATAATAATGTAAAACAGTAAAGACAACTCTAGGATTACATTATTCTTCATACATTTCTTAAGCATTCTTGACTTTGTCTTCTGGAACTGCCCTTTGAGATCTTCAGTTCCGACTACATCACCATTGCTTCTATTTGCTTTGCATTCTGTATTTATGAGCAAGTTTCAGAGTCTCTTCTGACATCCATTTTAGTCTTTTCTTGTCTTCCTTTATCTTTAAATTTTAAGTTTTATTGACATATAACAGTTTTGTTGACCTGTAATGACCATTTGCTTTCTTCATATGCAATGTCCTTGATGTCATTCCACAACTTGTGTGGTCTATCATTAGCGTTTAATCTGTCAAATCCATTTTTGAAATGGTCTTGAAATTCAGGTGGGATATATATGCTCAAGGTCATATGTTGGCTCTTGTGAATTTGTTTTCATTTGCTTTGACTTCGACATGACCTTGCAGTCGGTCCTCAGTCTTGCTCTGACTGCAGATAGTGGGGCTCTTTGTCATCTCACCACAGAGGTAGCTGATCTGATGGCTGTAGAGTCCATCTAGAGTGGTGCACACGTTGTTAGGAACAGATGTTTGCAGTGCACAGGTGGTTGTTCTTCCAAAATCCGACTGTGTGAGCTCCTGCTTGATTTCTCACTAGCAGCCCTTTGTGTCTACCTTGTGCATTCCAATCACCAGTATTATCAATGCATTTTGATAGCACGGTTCATCAATTTCTTCCTCTTTGGCAATAGTGGTTGGTCTCTAATTTTGTAATGAGTCCTATTATTGACATATGGACATTTTCCTATCACTAACAGCTCTCTACATCAGGATAAATCTTGAAATGTTCTTTTTGAGGATGAGAGTGATGCTATTACTTTTCCACTTGCCATTCCAGGCTTAGTAGACCACGTGATCGTTGGATTCATGCTGATTGCTATGCATCCCATTTCGTTTCTGATAGCTTCCAGTTTTCCTAGATTACCTTTTCATATGATCTATGATGTAATTACTAATGGATGTTTCTGTATGTAAGAAACATATAGAACATATCTCATTTTCAGCTGTACCATTATCAACAAATAAAAATCTGAAAGCTTTATTTTATCAATGTCATTAAGATTGATTTTACTTAATGAGGTAGTTTGTTTAGTGATGAAGTTTAAGATTTACATTATTCATGTTAATTGCCAATGTGTAGATAACGGCAATACCGGCAAACTTTTTTTCCTAAAAAATTCTTCAAAAGAGACTAAGGAACCTTCTGACAGAAAACGAAATTTTTAGGATATAAGGTTCAATGACATGACAAAAGAACATGGCAATCGACTCACAATTCTGAGTCTACAGCTGTAGAAAGACGAGCTGACAATAAACTAGATGCCTCGGGTAAAAAATAACGTATGTAAGATGAATAACTCTTAAAAGTATGTAGATTTTAAAGGCAAAGATCTGAAATATGCTGAGGTAAACTATCAATACCTTGAGCTTTCTGTGATGGATACCTTTATCATCTTTCTGTAACACCAATTTCCTTAATTCTTTGTTCTCTTTTTCTAATCGTTCCAAAATCCTCTGGTACTTTAACTGTAACAAAATAGTACACATGACAATTAGAAAAACAAAAACCCCAAAGCACTCAACTTGGGTTAAAAAATTCCCCAAGTTCTGAAGTCATATATCGCTTGATTATTGAAAGAGTTATACATTTAAACACTTCTTTGAAAATGTTGAGAAAACTAAATTATAAATACTATCTCTTTATACAAACAGTGAGATTTACAACAATTCTCTATGACTGTATTTCATTTGGAGAAATCTTTCAAAATGTATTTATTTGTGAACAGATTTATTGGCACATAATTCACATATCATATAATTCAACAGTGTAATGATATATTGGGGGAAATCTTTGATAACTACATTGTAGAAGTTACTTAAAAATACTCAAAATGTACAATTTTAAAGTGAATTATTAAGTACATGCTAGGAAGTAAACCTTCCTAGTATATCGAACTTTAAAGTCTTCATTATAGGGACATTCAAGAAAAACTCAAATTCTCACCATTTTCTACATTTGATGATATAATAGTAGCTTTTCGACAAGCCTTTGACTAAGGGTTTCAAATACTTTCACTCAGTCCTCACAGAACACTCAGGCTACTACTTGTGAGGCCACATTTTGAGATCAGAAGATTAGAATCGCCAGGCTGAGACAGCCTTACAAAGAAAACAATGGTACGAGACCCCTAGAGGACAGCCGATTCTAATGTCCAGTTAGAGAGGAAAGGAGGCCTGTGGCTCAAAAAGCAATAGCGATTTAATTTCACTTAGATTGTGCCTTGATGTTTCTAAGAAAAAGCCTTCAAACTTTTAAAAAGCAACATGTACGGCACATGCATGTTATTTAAGCAGCGCAAGCCACGATGGAATAGGCATGCAGGCGATGTTCACTCTGATGGGATCCATTCGTTCCACTGCACACGACAGATGTTTAATGATTATTTTATACACTATAGGAACGTAAACATTTTCAAAACAGTGCCAGAGAGATCTTTATAAAAGGGTCATCTGATTGGCTGCAGGCTTTAAAGAGGCCAAGAAAAAGGTCTGAGCAGAACTCTGCAGTAGGATCAACTCAATGTACTTATTCTCAGAATCAATTTACCTATAATGTAAGCATCGGTTTATAGATGCGTAATCCACTGACTTCTCCACACACACCCCTGCCCCCGAGTAGTTTTCCTTTAAAATTAGAACTACAAGATTCACTGAAAAAAGGTTTTTACACATAAACCAAAACCAAACAAAAATTCCAAACCCACAGCCACGGTCTGATGCTGACTTACAGCAGGCCTGTCTGGCAGGGCGGAAGTGTCCATTCCGCTGCACTTCCAAGGCTGTGCTCTGTCTGCAAGCGGACACGTGTAGCTCTCTCGTGTGAAGTGGAGGGTGGATTCAAAGTGCTAATTTCAGCTTAGCAGCCAAGTGCTTAAGCACTACATCACCACAGCTCCTTATAAATTAGTTACCTTCACTCTCTGCCTCCTTCCTTATTTCTACTTCTCAAATAGTTTTTGTATTTCCATCTATAGACAATAAGATTCTGAGAGGGTTTAAAACAGTTCTTGGAAAAATTTAATTGCCTTTAATTCCATTTTCCCATGAACTTTTGAAGCTTCGTCCTATGATTAAACCACTCCAAGTTTTGTTTCATTAAAAATTTTAATTTCCATAATGCCAGGCACAGTAGAGAATAAGGTCTCTGTAGAGAATTAGAAAAAGTCTGTTTTTTATACTCATTAGACTAACCTGGGTACGCAGCAACTCTTCTTGAAGTTGGTCAATTTTCTCTTTGTCTGAAACCTAGGTAAATAAGGTAAATTAATTTTATGTTAGAATTAGGTTTATATGAAGTGCACAATTAGTCAAATTTAAAACAAATTAAATAAAAACTGGCTTTACCTGCATGGTTAGGCAAAGTAAATTTTAAATAAAATGCTTAAGAAAGCAAAAAACACTTGCATTCATCAGGAAAGAATAGCTTGATATTTCATACTGAGAAATAAAAAATTTAAAAAGTAATCATTTCCCGGAAGTCATTCTAGTTATTTCATATAAAAGGCTTATTAAGAAAATGAAGAGATCAATACATATAACAACTATATTTTCTCTACTAGCTATTCTGTATTAAAGAGCAGGGAATTTGAGACTTGAAATAATAAAGCATG